TCAATCTGCAGTTCAGATACCACCAGTGGTTCTCAATCTGCAGTTCAGATACCACCAGTGGTCCTCAATCTGAAGTACAGGTACCACCAGTTGTCCTCAATCTGTAGTACAGGTACCACCAGTGGTCATCAATCTGCAGTACAAGTACCACCAGTGGTCCTCAGTCTGTAGTACAGGTATCACCAGTTGTCCTCAATCTGCAGTACAGGTATCACCAGTGGTCATCAATCTGCAGTACAGGTACCACCAGTGGTTCTCAATCTGCAGTACAGATACCACCAGTGGTCCTCAATCTGCAGTACAAGTACCACCAGTGGTCCTCAGTCTGCAGTACAGGTGTCACCAGTTGTCCTCAATCTGCAGTACAGGTATCACCAGTGGTCATCAATCTGCAGTACAAGTACCACCAGTGGTCCTCAATCTGCAGAACAAGTACCACCAGTGGTCCTCAATCTGCAGTACAAGTACCATTTTTTTTTCATTTTGTACCATTAGGTACAAAACGATGTGCCTCACACAAAAAGGTGATCACTTTGTAAGAAATGGCAAATGCTATCTATGGTTGTTTGAATGAAACTTGTGAACACTACATGAAGTAGTTATTGAGCAGCACCAGTTAGCAGCACCCATTATCAAAGGTGTTGTGATGAAGCTTAAAAGGTCAGAGACACAGAGCTCCTCTCATGCGAGCAAACTGCTGCACTCTGGGGTAAAGAGCAGGAAAAGCTTTAAAATGTGATTCTAATCCAGAATTTCATAAAGAAATCTCAGTTGTGTGTCCAGCTGTTCACTGCCAAACCAACATTACTGTCTCAGGTGGATTGTAAGACGACCTTTAAAAACATCAGCTAAAGGGTGAATCTGATCCAATCCAACCTCTGCAGACCCTGACCCTCCACCATCCTCTCAGCCTGGCCCTGCCTGGTCCTACCTGGCCTCGATGTGGTCAAACAGATGCTGCCAGCGGTCGTTGACGTCCTTCAGCTTGCCGTTGACCTCAGCTTCTTTGGTCTTGTTGCTGGCTGTGATGAGTTGTTCCCCGAGCTGTTTCAGGTGGGTCTTGTTCTCACTGAACAGGTTCATCTCCTCCATACAGTCCTAATTATGACACAAGTAAAAAAACGGAATAAATTATTCAAACTTTAAATCACTTTGTTTCAGATTTCATTGGAAGGATTTCCAGTCGTCCTTCACTGCTGTGCTTGAATCATTGAGATGTAAAACGGCTCATTAACGCCTGGATGGACCCATTTGTCCTCTCAAGATTTTTTTTAAAGAACACACTGCACATCATGTCTCAATAGATGAATGTTTGCTTCTATGACTGGACATAAAATTAAAAAACACACAAAAAAAAACCCAGCCAAATTCTAAATAAAAACTCTGGAAGACCATCAGAAAGCCTGAACTACTGATCAAAACCCCTTTAACTGATTCCAGCCTGGCTGCACGAGACATAAACAAATACAGGAATGACAACTGGAGTATCATTTTAGACCAGTTCAGTGAACTTGGCTCATTAAAATTAAATAAATACATTAAAACTTAATATGTAAACATTTCTGGGTTTCCTGATGACTGGGACAGAGGTAGAATCTTTTCTCTGAACTGTGGTGTGACAAAACAAGATTTAAGTATGGAAAGTCAATTATGTATTTATTGTTTCATTTTCATATTAAATGCCCTTCAAGCACAGAACTGTACATTTCACTAGTTAAACCAACATTCATTCTAATAACTATTGCATGCCCACAACTAGTAACACTTTGTACCATCAACTGGTAACATTTTATACTAGTGACCTTTTATGCCAACTGGTATTAACAGTTAATACAGTTACACAAACAACTGGTAACACTTTTATACCAACTAGTCAGAGTAGGAGTTCCACTGGTCAGCCAAAGCGGTGCACTCGTAGCACAACACCTCAACTAGTCAGCTTTAGTCAGACAAATGGACCAAACTAGAAGACAGCTGTGTTGGACAAATTAACCAGTAGCAGTCAACAGCCCTCCCATCTTAACAGTTTCTGGCTTTGAGTTATTCAGCGACTGGTGAATGTGCTGCTGATGGACTAGTTGAAGTGTTAAGTGGAGCAGTTAACCAGTTAACCGTCTCATCATACAGACAGGTGTCCCATACCAGGACACATTAGTCCACCTCCTGTGACGCGTTCTTATTCTTAGATTCTCACCTTCTTCAGTTTTTCCACCATCTCCTCGATGTTCAGCTCAGAGTTGTGCTCCACTTTCTTCTCCATCTGTGTGAGCCAATCACAAAGCTCCTTGTTCTTGTCATTGAAGATGATCCAAGCGTTGAGACGGTCTGCAATCTCCTGTTTCCTCAGAGACACCTGACACAAAGAGGATCGGAAGAAACTTGGTTCAAACTTGGGGCTGGTTCTAGAAGACATGGACTTCCCATCCCAATGTTCTCTTGAAAACTATCACAGCGTTGTTCTGGTTTGGACTGTTGCAGCGCAAACAGACAACAAAGAGACAGATCTACTGAAAAAGTTTATATCCAGTATAAATAGAAACAAAAAAGAAAATGTATAAATGTATTTAGTCTGACAACTCCTTGGCAAAAACAATTAAAAAATTTTTTTTAAAAAGTTTAATTTTTTTTGGTTGCATGAAAAAAAGTACAGCAAGCAACCCACCACTTCCAGTGGTTCCCAACCCTAGTCCCTGAGGAACACCATCATGTATGTTTCAGTTGTTTCCTGCTCCAACACGCCTGATTCAGTTATTTAATTACTTCCTCAAGTTTTGCAGAAGCTCGTTAATCACCCATTCATTCAAATCAGGCGAGTCAAATCAGGGAAACAAGTAAAACATGAAGGACGGTGTCCCTCAAGGACCAGTGTTGGGCACCACTGAGTTAGACTGACCACATAACTGTCTTCTTCAGTTTCTTTCAGTCATCTCTTTTAAACAGCTTATTTTTAGATCTGATCTTCATATTTTGTACACTTTTCTCAGTTTTTAAACAACAAGCAGCATCTAACACCAACAAATGTCAGGATTTTGCCTGGTAGCATTTCATCTTTAGGGAAAATTTAAATTAAAAACTAATATACAGCAGTCAAACTGGGTTCTGTTTGAAAGGTTTTGCAGATTCATCTAAAGACACGATTTTTGAGACAAGTAGCTTGAAAACAAGAGCCAAAAAGCTGCAGCTGAAGGTTGACTCTTGGCTAAAAGTTTGGTGATTTAGGCAGAACTCTTCAGTCGGGTGGCGTTTTATGCTCGTATCAGGAAGTGATCGAACCAACTGTACCTTTAAGAAATTATAGACAAGTGTTGTTCAAAAAGATGACTAACAATCAGCAGAAAGTTCTGTTTGGCTGCCTGGAGACCAAACACCAAGAGTAGAAGACTGAATCAGGACTTTTGCACTTTTGCTTTCCGTTCATGTAAAAGTTTTGAACAGAATCGCTCTTTCTCCTGAAGCATCACACATCTGTCCTCCCATCTGTTCCCACAATGCCCCTCACCTCCCCCCTCAGGTCACCTTGAAGCAGAGCTCCTCCCACTGGCAGTGCAGGTGCTCCACCTGCTCCTGCAGCAGCAGCACGTCGTCTGTGATGATGTACCGGGTCAGATCCGCCTTCATGGTGCTCAGCTCCGTCAGGCTTTCAACCCAGTCCTCCAGGGAGTCCTCGTTCTCCTGCATACCACAACACACACAGAGCGTCAGAGACCCTCCTCCACAGACTGCCACCGTCTGTCTGCTGATTCTCCCCGCCCAGAGAAAGGATTATGGACTACAAGCTGCAGACTGGGCCGGGCCAAGCCGGGTTGGGCTGGGGGAGGGCTGGCTGCTGGGGGGGAGGGGAGGACGGGTCAAGAGTGGAGAAGCTGCCTTTCAAACAACACTTAACCCAGAACTGACCAAAGAGGTCAACTCAACGCTACACCCACAAGCTACCACCAAAACCAGGACCAGAAACCACAAGCTGCCACCAGATCCAGG